GTTGGAACAAAGTTACGGAAAGTTAATTAACAAACGGAGACGTAACAATATATTAACTTACGGACAAGGAAAAATTAAATAAACATCCTATATTTTAAAATGTCATTAAATATAAAAATATTATCCTATACATAGCATTTCAGTGCTGAGAAAGTGTATTTCACACACAGCAGCCGAAATTAGTGACCAATAAATTTACAACTAAGAGTTAAAAATATGTTAGTTAACTGTACATCACATTCAAAGTTTACAATTTATCAATTATAAGTATAAGCCCTTAACATTTAATGATTAATTAATCCATGCTTTTGTATTTAGTACATGATACAGGTATAAAAAATTATATATGAAAAAATACCATACCATAGTTCACATATACATCTTAGGCCTCATTTGTTATACTAATTTATAGGCCTAAACACAGCTAGCTTACCATAAATCAGGCCGATTTTGAAATCTCAAGTTCCACTAATTTATAAATTTAAACGCGGTAGGCATCACTGTTGCTGTAATAGTGACATATTTGTGATCTCCAATTATTGCGAATAAAGATTATTTCTGTAACATGCATTAAAAAAAAAGCATTGCCCTTTGAAGTTTTGTCTTTTCTTCGTATTTATATAACAAATTATGATTATCAGTGCATGATATATTAGCATTTTACCAATTATTTTGTATTAGTATGTCACTATCGTAAAACCAGTGTTACGTAACATTCTTCTGTTTACATTTGCTTTCGGTAACAGTTAAAGTTAAACTAAATTAACAACTTAAACAAGCCAGCTTTAAAATGAAGCATCATGACTAATAAACTGTTACATAAAAATTTGAAAATACAGTTAAGTTACATTTACTGCATGTGCGATCATTTTAATAATTTAAATATAAACTGTAAAAATGAAAAGTAACTACCAGTGAGGTAAAGTTGGAAACATCTACTGTAGACAAGACGTTCGGAATAAATTTAAACTGAGTATAATACCTCGTGAACGTGAACTTGGAATTGTGCTAGTTGTTTTATGAATCAAAATAAGACAAATACAGTTAAAACCACATAGGCGACGAAAATATCAAAATTGAATAATAGGTTGAACAATCGCCAAGTTTTTTATATATTTTTATTTAAAGAAGGATGACGATTGTTCAACCTATTATTTAATTATGAATCGAAGTAAGTCAACAGTGAAATCACGCAATCAAATTTGCCTTGTTATGGTTATATATTAAATTACTATCTTAGAATACGATTGGCCAGTTAGTTATGCAATTTTTTCCCACTCACTAAAAATTGCTTTGTCATAAACAAATCTTGATAGGAAATAGTAAACAAATCGTTGTTTGTCAGTTTATTATCATATTAGCATAATATGCTTACATACAGAAGTACTTAATGAGAAATACCAGTAATAAAGATTAAGATAATTAGTCTTATTTTGATACAGTATCACACAAGTTATCGATCAATAGATCATGTTTCGCTATACTAGAAGTTACATGCCATTGTTTAGTTAACATAGCTTGCTGAAGATGGAACAAGTAATTTCGAAACGTTCAATAATTAAATGTTTGTTACTGTCACACACGTATCAACTGTTTGTTGTTGTTGCCATCGGATGAATCTGAAGAAACCTTTATTTTGAATTACAAACTTTATTTGATCTTGCATAATGGTTATTTATTTTATTTTAACTTAATTCATATATATTAAAGTGTAAGTTTGTTGTTAAACGCAAATCTGCAATGGACTATCTGTGCTGTGTCCACCACGGTTATCGAAACCCAGTTTTTACTGTTATAAGCCTTCAAATTTACCGTCGAGGAACCTAATACCGACGACAAAGGAGAAGACTGACTGACTGAGAAAACAATTTGATATGCGAGATAGGGTCGCGTTGTTTCGCAGTTCTGCGCATGCGCACAACACCTTAGTTTAGTTTTGGATTATGGGATATCTAACGTGCTGTTTATGGTGTTTCTGACGTCACTACATTCACTCTATATTATCTTGTGGTTATGTTGATAATGATAGTACTAGCAAATTAATCGTACATTTTAGCTTTTATTACTATTCTTGGATATTTCAATTGATTTATTTACTTTTAATTTCGAACCTGATTGAACTATGTTGGATTTTGCAATATTTGCAGTTAGTTTCGTGATATTTTTACTGATTATAGTATTTTATTTGTATCCGGTAAGAACTCGTTATTATTTTATTTTAGCACTAAAGCTTATATAAATTATTAATAATTTACGAATAGTAATACAGTCTATTTTAGTAGGCCTACTATTAGTATTACTAGTTTTAGTATTAAGTCTGATCCATAATTTTGCATATGGCAATTTTAAACTAAACTTAGCCAAAATTAACCCGGCGGAATTTCTAGTGTCAATGCTGACAATAGTATTTCACACAAGGAATAATCTAATATATCGTACTTACTGTTCAAGCTCATAATAATTTGTCAATAATTATATGAATTTAGTATTCGTCAGTTCAAAAGTCTGTGCGAGAACGTGTGTGCGATTCTTACACTACCTACACAGTACACGTAACTTACAATACAACATATAAGTTACAGTACAGATTATAATTTATATGCATAATATAATACTTTTTAAATAGATGGCTTTGTTTTTTTATGTTTTTAAACTTAAAAATCATAAAACTAATTCTAATGCACGTGTAGTGACTTAATCAAATTGAAAAAAGATTACAGTCACACCTAAACTGGTTGTTCAAACATCAAGCAATCGTCTCAACCACTACTAGTACTACTAATCAAAGAACACCTTAGACTTATACTGCATGTTAACTTTTGTGTACATTAAAATATATTTGAAAATACTACAAAATGATTAAAAGGGCATAACATGTGCTATAATATCTTTACAACGCTCAAGACTAAATACTTGCATTTTGTGATTTTTATTAAATGTGTTTTAGATGCTATGTGATCATTGTTTTACTTTTAGGGTTCTGCCAAGGCAACTAGTATTCCTGGAATGGACCCATCTGATCCAAAGTAAGTATGTCTAAATTATTGAAACAAATTACACTTTTGGTATAAAATATGAGTACAAAGACAAGAAAGCTAATCTCAAAACTTTCTTGCATTTTCTGAATTGAAAAGGGAAGACACATCAAAATATTGAAACTTGTTTCCTGGTCTTTATTATTTATATTAATGTTTTATTCCAAGAGTGTTTTTGTTAATTTAGTGAACACTACTAAGTCTTCTAAAATAGCATATGTGTATATGTGTGTGTGCATTTATATTTTCTACTCATATTTGGGTTTTTTGTCTTTAATTTAGAAAAATAGAATAAGTAGAGCTGGGTGATATAATTGATTACTTATGAGAGGTGATTATGTCAACTTGTGTCTTGTAAACTAATTGATTTATCAGTGTTGCTATAATCAACCAATGAAAATTAGTGTCTCTGATTATTCCTGTTTTGGTTATTCCAACAATTGACTAATGAAGTATTAATTAAACCAACTGTCACAAAAATAATGAACTAACTGAAATTGGTTGCTTTGATTATTACTGTTTTTGATTATTCTGAGTTGTTGAAAAATTGCTATTATCTTAGTTAAGTGCAAAACTACATAACTGGAGGGGGGACTCATGATTTGAAGGTCTTGGATTTGATTCCTGTTGTTGCTGAATTTACTCGCCCTCTCTAAGGCTATGTGCTACTATCATTAATTTTGAACTACTCACTGGAGAGAAGGCAGCACCCGACATCAGTTCTTTGACTGATTAAGTGTTAAATGAAATATAATTTTTTTTTAATTGTGCTATTTTTGTAATTTATAATTACAAAAGTGTATTCTTTAATTTTTGTATAAGCAGGTGATCTGGACCCCATCCATATTTTTTTCTAGAGATTAAGAACTGTATTTTTTAATCATGTATATCTGTAAGCAAGCACAGATCTAGGAGCAGAGTCTGGATAACTAAACCTCCTCTGCCCTTTTTTGTTTTTTCATAGATACATAAATATATTAGTTAATGTTGTATAAGTAGGCACAGATCTAGGGAAAGGACCATGACATTTGAACCTCCTCACCATTTTTTCAGAAGTTAATAAAAAAACAACTAGATGTCTTTACACCACCATATAATATCAAAAATAAACATTAAATGTCTGTGTTCTTATTTGATTGGGCCATTAACTACCATGAAAGCTTTTTGAGGTTTTCTGAAATCAACACTGCTGGTGTCTACAGCAGTCTATTTAAGGCCTCAGCCAATAACTGATTATTTTTAAGTCAATTCAACAATATGAATGTCAGTTAGATTTTGCAGTGGTAAATTTTAGTGATTTATATTTTTCCACATTCTAAAAATGTGTGTATTCTTTAAAGATTTGATTTTATCAAAGTTAGTATTGATTAGGACATTTGCAACTCTTTATAACATAGAATGTTACAGAATTGGTCTTTCATTGTTTAGAGACTAGAATTCTGATAAAAAATCTGTTTTTCATATTGTTGATATCTAAAATAAGTGAAAATGCAAGTGGTATGACTGTATAAGTTATAACTTTTTTAAAAATAATTAAAACCAGGCATCCTGCTTACTAATTCTAATTTTTGTTTTCTAAATATGATGGTAAATAATTATAGCTATTTAATTTTAATTAAAAGATTGTAAATGTTTGTTTTTAACTAAGTTTCATATCCATCACAGTACTAGAAATAAAGATACAAGTTTCAAAGTCTGAATTATTATCTGATTGAGCTAGTCATTTATAGAATATACTAACATTGTTTAACTTACTTATATTACTTTGGAATTGTATGGTCAACATTAATTAATCCATGTTTTCATTATTTAATTATCAATTTATTTGATTTACAGATCAGTTGGAATTACTGCATATTTTAAAAATAAACATAATGGAATCTGAGTGGTGGTATGTAGTCAGCATTAGTGACTCATTTATCAAGTAGGAAATGTCCAGATTTTCTTTAAAAAAATTGTGACAAAATAGTTTTTAGACAATAAATGTTTTTTGCAAAATATGCAAATAGCAACCTTCAGAAGAGGTCTACCATATGAAACCAAGAGTAATTCAATTTCTTAAAAACTAGATAGGATGATTAACACCATGTTAGAATAATGCAGTGGTTGAAAAAGTAATGAAAGTAGCACACATCCTGTTTTTTTTTACTTGTATGGCAGTGGGATTGTAGGTAGCATGTACTAATCAATTAATGAGTCCATGAATTAAACGAGTTAGTAAATACCTGTAATCGCCCAGCTCTAGATGTAAGGAATTTATTTTTAACACATAAAATTTGTTTTCTCCCCTACAGACATAATGAAAATGATATATGAACATGTAAGATTTTTTTTCAACATTTGATAAGTCTCTGCACTTGTATTTCTCTTATACAATAGACCTATTTTTTCCCAAATTATCAATATGTTGGATGATGTTAGATTCAATAACTCATAAAGTATTCAGTCATGTATAGAACATTAATTTATCTTTTCTTAAATGTAAATTTCAAGTTTTCTGTTTAAATTAAAATACTAAATGTTTTCAACTTCTGCATATTTTAGAGAAGGAAATGTACCAGATATTCTTCAAGCTGGAAGCTTGCATAATTTTCTTGAAAATCTGCATGAAGAACATGGACCAATAGCATCTTTCTGGATGGGCTCAACCTTGACAGTTAGCATTGCAGCTCCAGAACTGTTTGAGCAACAGCTGCATGTTTTTGATAAACCAGGTGAGCCAATCTTTAATTTCGAAAATGTTTTTGTTTTTGAAGATCTATATAAACTTACAATAAAGTTTAAATCCACACTAACAGAATAATACCAAACTTGAATGGAACTTCTTTCCAGAAAGAGTGAAGCACTGTTCTGCACTGTAAAAAGAAAAAAGCTACAGCAAAAAAACTGTTTGAAAAAATGGAATCATCCCTGAGACCTTACTGCCAAAGCTATATTGCCATTTGGTAACCTGGAGAAATTAATTTTAAACCAGCAGATTGTAAAGATAAAACCTGAATCTAATGAGGCTTTTTACATTTCCAAAACTACATTACAGCTTGAAGTACTTACATTCATAGTCCAAGGTAAATGTTTATTCAAGATAACAAAGACACTCATTGCAAAGAAATTAGAGTAAAAAGAGGTAAGACTACAAAATAAATTTGTTAAGCTGTTAAAAGAAGTATATGGTTTAAATCTTCCCAACCAGATAAGATTATTGTAAATCTATCGTCATATACTCTTACAGACTTAGAAAAAGTAACATTAGGTTATGGTCTCTCATTTTCTTTTAAAAATGCTCACTTCAGCTTTGACTTATTGTTGGATGTTGTTACAAATTCTAAAGGCAATAATGAAGATTTGAACTTTTTAATTGGACATTTAACAGCTGCTCTTTTTTCACAATCAAAATGAAGACTTAAAGATTCCTCATTGTTTATAGAAACCTTAAGAAAATTTAAAAAATAATAAGGATGTCATAATAACTAAATCTGAAAAAACAATTAAAATAGCCTTCCTGGTTAAATTAATCTACAAAACAAAGCTGAAGGATTTATTGCAGAACAAAAATACTTATGAGAAACTTAGGACTGATCCACTTTCTCAAACAGTATTTGATTTTAATAAATTTCTCCAGAAAATTCTAGCTGATTTTCCAGATCTCTTAAACAGATTAATTCTTCTCTACTTTATTTGTACTGTTTGCCTAAAATACAGAAAGATAGCTGCCCTCTTAGACCTGTTGGATCACTTATCTCCTGTTCTAGGAAAGTTTTCATAATCATATATTCAGAACAATATAGATCTAGCCAACAAATTAAAAAACTGTAATATAAAGGAAGGGAAAATGATCAGTTTTGATGTTCACAAACATACCAGTTGATGAAACAATAGACTCTCTAAAGAGAAACTTACCTCAACTTAGCATTCCACTTGTGGTGCTGGTCCACACTTTTATCTCCATATTGGAAGTATGTGTTAAACATAATATATTCGTTTGCGTGGGACAATATTAGAGACAAAGATATGGAGTGACTATGGACAACCCTTTATCCCCAATTCTCTGTAATTTCATGGAGTATTTGAGAGCAATTACTTCCTACAGTGGATCAGAATACAAAGGAAATCCCTTGGTTCCAATTTGTTGATGTCATGTTTTCTCTTTGGGCAAATAATAGAAATTATTTTAAAGCTTTTTTCAAGAAGATTAACAAATTTCATAGCACTACTAAGTTTAAAGTTGAATGTGAAACCAATAATTCCCTCCCTTTTTTTAAACATTTTCATAACTAGAATGGAAATGGGACCTGTTCATTCTATCTAAAGAAAACTGACAAACCCTTTAAGCTTCATTCATTTATACTCATGTCACGATAAAACAGTTAAAACATCAAAAATAAATTCAGTGTTTTTTAGAGGGTAAGAATTTATCCTAACGTGACATTTGATGATGAAATTAAAAAGATTTATGCAATTTTTGAACAGTTGAAGTACTCTATAGGCTTTATCAGAAATGTCCATAAAAAGGCAAGGAAGACATTCTATAGGAACAGTGACAAGCAAACAGCACCATCTCCACATAAAAATGAAACTAAAATAGTGTCAACTACAATTCTAATATTGTGGCTTTAGAGAGATGCCTGAAAAATAACAATTTCAAAGTTGTTTATAAATATCCCAACACCATTAAACATTTCTTACCATCAAGAAAGTCTGCACTCCAAGATAAAGAACAGGATGTCTATATAGTCTCCTGCCATGTCTACAAAAAAAACTTATGTTGGTGAAATGGGTAGAAATTTAGATACCAGACTTGCAGAACACAAAAAAGGATGTTAAAAGTGGGCAAACAATGTTATTTTTCTATACATAAGAAAATTTGATCATAAAATAAGCTGAGAATCAGTTAAGCTAATACTAATACATAGAACTACAAATTATTTCAAAAAAAGAATTCTGGAAAGTTTGTTAATATAAACATTGTCAAACTTCAATATGAGTAGTTCGTGCATTATGTAATTTGATACGATAATGTGAGCTAGAAGTTTGCCGAGATTATTAATTAGATACACTTTAAAAGACAATAAAACAATAAAATTTAAGTAGAAACAAATGTATAGTGGGAGGAGTTTTAAGCTATTTAGGATAAACAAAAGTAGTTTCCTGTGACAACTTGAAGTCAATCTAGAAAGAAGAAAAGGGTAATTTAGATTTATTTCGTAATTTTTTAGTGGTGTTATGAGGTTGTTCAAATCAACTGACTCTATATAGAGTTTGAGTAGAGAAAATAACATAAAAGATAAATAAAATATTTAGGAGGTTTTGTGGGATTATGCAAATGAAATTTTTAAATTAAGAAAAGTATTTTTAATCTTAACATAAATCACTTTGCACTTGGAGTAGTCAACACTCTGACACCATATAATTATGGACAAAGTTTTAATAAAAATAATTAAAAATTCAAATTTTGTGTCTACAAAAGACTTTTAATGTTTACTGAAAGCTTACCAAATTTTATGAAGATACATTAAGTATTTTCAAAGTTATAATATGTATACCACCCTAGTTACAAGGTTGTGTAAAATACGCAAGCCCATTGTGATTGGGTTAAACACATTGAACCATCACTCTGCATGCATACATTTTATTGTTCATTTAGCACGATACTCCCCCAAACGATGTTCCAGACAGATTGATTGCCAAATCCAAGATTCCTTAGTTTCAAAGAAACCTTTCATTTACTTAGTGTGACACATGCTACTCACATGACTAGTCATCCTCATTATAATATAGGTAGGGCCATAACCTTAAGATATCACTTAAACAACCATTGAAGTACACTGTTTTTAACACATATACGTAACTTCTTATTCAGCAATGTTCTTCCTGGGTGGTAATAAGTATTACCTACTTCAAGAACAATAAAGTAACAAAGATAACATGAAACAAAATGAACTTAACAGTTTTCTTGACCACATGTTATGTGAATTCTGCACATATTCAGAACAAAGAATAACTTCTGATTAAATATCTAATACTGCAATAAAATAGAAACCTATAGTATATTTACATAGTACACCATTATCCATCTCTGCACTCTTGACAGTTATGTCGGTATCATTTCTGTAGTAAGGGAACAAAACTGTCCAGAGTCTTAAAGAACACTATCAACAAAAAAAAACACCTTAAAATTCACTATTTATAGAAATGTATGCTTATAAAGTTCAACACTTACCTGAAGGTTTTAAGCCTTTATTAAAAGTCACATATAAATCCCTTTAGTTTTATTTTATGTTTACATCAATGCTTCTCTAATACAAGAAGCAGATTCTTTCCTTTCTTTCTTTCTTTTTTTTACCATAAGTGCATCATTTTACAACTTTCAGTATTGACACCTATTTGCCCCCAGTGGCACAGCAGTATTGTCTGCAGACTTGTACTGCTAGAAACCAGATTTCCACACCCGTGGTAGGCAGAGCACAGATAGACCTTTATTTAGCTTTGTGCTTAACTACAAACAAACAAAGACACCTATTTTACAGTGATTAAAATTATTTGTATGGGTCTTTCTGAATAACATATTGTTATAAATGACTTCTGAAAAGTCATTGTTAACTTTCAAAACAAGTAAATACTAATTTAATTTGAATTTTGAACAGTAACCTTTTTTGACAGTATGCATTAAAGTTACCAACATAACCTATGGAAAGCATAGAGACTACTTTCTACAGGCAAGTATATTATTATTTATACAGAGTGCTAATTTCTCTTTTGGTCGCTAAAGTGACAGGAAGAATATATTTATATGGTTGCCACAGACCAAATTTTTTTCCTATATGTATTTGTTTTTTACTTGCATGTTACTGGTGTGAAAATAAAAATATAAACAATTCCTTATGCTGCATTACTTTACCATCCTTATACTTTAATTCCACCCAGTTTTAACAGTTGTTAAAATTGAGGTTGATATAGGTAGTTAACATACAACAAAAATGAAATGATTTCTTGTAGATTGCAATAAAGTATTGTCATCATAGGCCAGTGGAGATGCTATTGTTTTGTTTGTTTTTGAATTTTGCGCAAAGCTACACGAGGGCTATCTGCGCTAGCCGTCCCTAATTTAGCAGTGTAAGACTAGAGGGAAGACAGCTAGTCATCACCACTCACTGCCAACTCTTGGGCTACTCTTTTACCAACGAATAGTGGGATTGACCGTCACATAATAACGCCCCCACGGCTGAAAGGGCGAGCATGTTTGGTGTGACGGGGATTCGAACCCGCGACTCACAGACTGTGAGTCGAGCGCCCTAACCACCTGTGGAGATGCCATAGTCAGGACTAATGTTATAGAATATGCAAAATAGGTAACCATCTTGGGTGATAAAGAGAGGCTGCAAAATAAAAATAATTTTACAACTGAATTTATTTGCTAAGTTCATTTTACATTCATAATATTACCTTTCCTGTCGATGTTTCCCCTATTTAAATACATCTGCTACAGGTGCAGCCAATGAGACTGGAACATTCATCCCAATGTTTTAAAGTATAACATTCTTATTTTCTAAGAGGAATGAAGAATAAGAATTTAAAAACAAATTTTGATTAGAACTTTTTAAAGATTTTAGAAACTAGTTCCTTGGCGTATAAACGACATGTAAATGCATAAACATTAATATTACCAGTGACTAAGTTGCTGCTTCAGAATGAACAAACATTTATTTTGTAACATTAGAGTAAGGTTTCAAACTATACAACTGATCATTTGCAGTTTTCAGTACTTTCTAAAATACCCTAACTCAAATGTAAGCCTGGAAATCCTCCGTCCCACTCAGTTGGTTTATCTTAGTTGAAATGTTTTAAGAGTTTTTTCTAACTAACAGCTAATTTTGTTATTTTTATTATACATGTATACTTTCAAATTAATTACAACTCCATAATCTGAAATATATTTTGATAATAAAGTTGTAAAATAAACTACCTTACTTTCCAGATAATGATAAAAAATTTTTATTTCAGCCAACATTTCACTATTGTGACTTCATTAGGGTTAATAGTGCAAGAACTCTATGATAGTAAATATAGTAAAGAGAGAGGTTTTTATTACTAAGAAATAACTTTTTATCATAAAATTATTAACATTTATCATGTGTTGTCTTCCATTAATTCTTGTTCTAGTTGTTTGAATTATAACTTTTTTTTTCCTAAAATAAAAATAATCAATCTGATTAGACAAGAGCCATAACTACTGTGATAATATTTAAAGTTATGTGTGTGTGTGTCACTAATTTGGCTACTTCATTCTGGTGAACACTAAATCCTAAAGCTATTACTTGATATTCTTTTTTTTTGGAGAAAGCTGAAACAAAGATAAAATTTATATTTTTTCTGCCATTTGTTTAATTAATTTTAAGATTTTTTGTTATTCAATTTATTTGTATTGATCAAATTTATTGTACATCTAGGCAAATATAACTTTTAGTTTTTATCTACAATATAACTTTTATTACACATATTTTTTATTTTATAGTGGACTTGTTTACACTGTACAAACCTATTACTGGAGATGGAAGTCTGCTTTTTTCAAATGGTACAGAAGGTAGAAAGAGAAGACAGCAGTTTGACAAGATCATTTATCACATGAACAATGAATCCACATTTACCCAACTCAAAGAGGTCAGTTTAAGAAAAATTAACTTCTTTAAAGATATTTAAATCCTTAAGTTTGTTTACTTCTTGGTGATTGAGCAAGAAAAACTGCAGTTTTTTGTAGGACATTAAATGTACTTCACATAAACACTAAATCATTCAAATTTTTACATCATAAACCTATTTATTATCTTAAAAGTGAATTTGTTGTACATGTAACCAGGAAAGGTTAACAAGAGATTGAAAAATTAAATGTTAAACCAACAGAAATGTAAAAAACAAGAGACGATCTTGATCTTAGTTCTAAAATTATTATGAACTTGGAAAGCTAGAAAATTTATGAACATATGTGAAAAAAAGAATACTTTAAACTGAAACAATTTTCTAAGAATTGTAAGAGTTTTTCAAATTTCTTTCATAACATATGGATTACTGTACTTCCTGAACATAATCCAATCAAGCAATAGAAGTTCTGAAACAGATACAAAAGTAGGTCTTAATACTATACTTATATATTATACTTATAAAAGTATGTGATAAGCAAAGAAGCATTGGTACTTACTTTATTTTTAACCTAAAATGAAATATCAGTGAAAGTTATAACAAATATATAAAACAAAAGAATAAGAAAAAGCTAGAGTTTAAAAGAGATGAAATCATGTTGATAATGCAAATCATAGAAGAAATCAGTCAGAAAATCTATAGTGACTGAAGTTCATTCGTTGTTTATTCTCACATATGCAGTATGTACTAGTACTTCTGGTTGTAATCCTAATAGTCTCACTAGGTCTGTCTAACATCCAATTTAAATGATTTTAATATGTTGGTCTTAACATGATACATATTAATTGTCAATGTCTTTCTGTAAGCAATTTTAAAGCTTCAAGTTATTCAATGAGTTTAACTCCACTAAAATAAGAAAATAAAAATATGAAATAATACCAAAAAAATAAAAAGAATTTCAAATCTGTTCATTATTTTGTCATACAAAATATTATTTTCATTCAGCATTCAATAATGAAGTAGTTCCTGTCAATGTACTCATTAAAGTACTAATAGCTTATCTCACTAACACTTTTATGGAAAGGTCATCCCTCATTAAAATGTGCATAATACAGGTGGTTGAGTATGTTATATTAAACTGATTTCAAATACACAATTCAGCAAGTCACATGATACCACAGCAGATATAAAGACATAAATGGAATGTCATTTTATGAGAACTACATTTTGACATTGTTTGGCATTTTGTAAGTAGTGTAATGCTACCAGAAATTGACCACTTTTGGGAAGGATATGCAAAGCCCATTCTTAAACAAAGTATTCATACACTCAGTCACAAAGATCTATTCAGATTGGGGATTTTGAATTTCCAAGAGAGGAATACCCCTTGCACTTAATGGCATTGGAAAACAAAGTATGGATCAACTTTGAGTGCCAGAAATATCCAGTAAAAGACCAGCAACAAGTTACACACCAGCCATGGTAAACAGAGTGCAGTGATTTGTCAATGGTCAAAGCTGTTCATGTGTCTCGGGTAACAGTATGTATAATAATCAAAAAGGATCTCCATAAGTAAAAGTGACACAAGACGTTTCCATGATATATCCATTCAACTGTCGCATACCTCAACTAGCCAGAACAGTGGATGCAGTGTGTAAGGATTTCTGCACAATCTGACTGTTAAAATGGGTTCAGGGAAACTGTCATTCTTGTACACTGGATGAATTATGGAAGGCAAGTGGAGAGAAGTGATGTATTTTGGAAATGGCAACTCTATAATGGAGCCTTTTACAATGTAAACTGTGTTTCAGACCTATTGTCAATGTGCATGGTCATCAAATGAAGTATGATCAAACCTGGTGACATGGATTGTAATGACATGATGAGGCTCACAAATCATTTTAATGTAACATACTCAACATCTGTATTTTGTACTGCTCTTTCTAACAAGTTACTTCAGTATAAATTAAGGTACATAACATTCTTAAAATAATGCTTTCTTGTATGTTTCAATTGTGATTGATAAGGTTTGTATTGACAGAATAGCCAGTTATTATCTCTAGTAGACATCTGTATGAAGGTTATTACACTTATTTGCTGATATAAAGTTTTACAACCTGTTCATATGGTTGCATTCTTTTTGAATACGCCTATTTTCATAATATTTGGATACATAATGTTTCAAATCAAAATAATTGATAACTTACCAAATTAATATAAATTTCACTGAAGGGTTTAATAATAGATTTAAGTGATACTTTGTTATGATACCCTGAACATAAAATATATTCTATGGTATGATCATTTGTAAAATAAGCTTGAGAACATGATGCATGCTTATTTTTGTATTACGTTGTCAAGAAATTAATGTTGATTTTTATATATGAAAAAACCCAAAAAACTTGTATATCAAAAAAAAATTTATTAAATGAAATA